TTGCCAGACCTCAAGTTTATCGAGGGTCAGATGTGTGAGACCAGCAAGGAGCATGTTGGAATAGTCAGGTCTAGAAGTAACAAAGGTATGGTTGAGAGTTGCATCAGCTGTTGCACTGAGACATGGATGAAATTAAGCAATAATATGGAGGTGGATGAAGAACATCTTATAGTTGGCACAATTATGAGGTTACAGGCATATCTTAGGATCACATGTAACAGCAAGGACTGAATTTTCACTTCCAAGTCAAAATTTCCTGATCCCACAAACTGAATTCAGGAAAAAGTTTCCTATTTTTGTTCCAGGATGGGTGGATTGTGAAGGGAAAGGTGCTGACTGGAGGCAGGATAACTGCTGCTCTGAAGGCAGCCATGAGGGTTCCAGAAACTGGCTATTGGAAAGGAAAATAGAATGTGCTGGAGAAACTTTTTTGTGTTCTGTGAAGAGAGAAACAGAGTTAACATGTCGAGTCCAAACAAATGTCTTTGTTCTGAAGAGGAGTCATGTTTGACTCAAAACATTAATTCTGTTTCTCTCCCCAAAAATTGCTAGAGGTGTTGAGTTCCTCTAGCACTTTATTTGAGGTGACTGCATCTGCATTATTTTGCTTTTATTAGGGCTGTTTAAAAGGCCCACGTCAGTGATCTGGAACTTTTGTCCCAGTTATAATGAAACCAGTAAGACACTAGCCCTCACAATCCCTTATCCCCACATATCCCCAAGGCTCTATCTGTGCCAGCTTATGCTACCTCTTGTCCCAACCTACACCCTGTGACCCCTGTATCTTCCATGTCAACCGATGTCTCTCTACCGTTGCTCCATTCTTTTCATGCCAAATCATTCACTCCACCTCCCCCCCCCCGACCAACCCCACACCATGGTGCCCCATGCCTCCATTTCAATCCGTTCATCTCATCTGTGCGCACAACCTATAGCATTTCTGCCAATCACGCCAATCTCTGACGTTGCATCCACCACCCTTTGTCCTTACATAATCCAAGCCAACAACTAGCCATGTTAGGCAGGTATCAAGAGTGATATGTGTTTTTATTTCAAAACCCACTTGTTAATAAAAGTCAATTGAATACGTTTAAATTACTTCAACTACTTAATCACACACACAAACAGGCAACTGCATTTATAACTGTACATCAAAGACAGCTAATCGCTTTATAGCCATTTGGAGGTATCAATTAAATTGTGAACTTGCAAGCCCCTGATTGTGACACTAAGGTATTATGGAAGTCCAGAAACATCACTACTGCAAAAATAATTTTCAAGCTTAGGCAAAGAAAAATCTGTTGAAATTGCAGTACTGATTTTGAATGCTGAAACTTTTTTTTTCAAAATTTACAGCCTGGGTAGTTTAAATGATCTTGAGAGTTTGTCAGTTCCACATATCTTATTCACTTTTATGTCAACTCTCAACAATTCCACTGAAGTATCTGGACACTCTGGCAGGTTTTGTGCCTTTTCATTCATACGTGCGTGTTTTGACAATTTCAGGAATGAAAATTGCTTTTAAAAGTGTTGCTGCCTCTGTGAATTGTGAATGTGAATCCTGCTGCAATTCACCCACACTCTCACTGGCAAAAGTGGTGAGTGCCGGATTACTGAATACAGGAGCAGAGCCTCCAAATTTTGAACTGCAGTACAAAGTGCACTAAATGCCCCCTCATAACCACCAGCACTATTACCACATTGCTGATTCAGTTCTGTATGTGTTCTTCTTGTAGCAACCACAATATCTCCTGTGGTGCTGCTGGCCTGTACATGGCTGACCGTTCTTTATAGACTGACCGTTCTTTATAGACTGACCTTTCGTTCTTGGGATCTTAATTCCTGGGAAAGGTCTGTTGATGGCTTTGCCATTGCCTGATTGGCTTGTGGTTCAGTGGTCTTCCCAAAAAGAGGCAACACAACTTTCTCACTGGTGCCCAGCCAGCAGGCAAGACATCTGATACATCACAAAATTCTGTCTTATCTTTGAAAATGTACCATGTATTGAGCAGGAAATAATTATTATTCAATTAATTTGAATCCTAACTTGGCTATCAGTGATGTCATTCCTTAATGTGTTGCATATTAACCAAATCACTAATATTGATAGTTTAGAATTTCAGCTCATGTGAAATATAAACCTATTTCCAACGTGCCACAGACTTGACGGCTGTGATTTATTTTGTCACATCTATGGAATATCTTGCAATGTATTCTGGTTAAGACATGTACATATTTGATTTTAGTTCAGGCTGTGAATATGATTGCCACTGAAACAGACAAGATCCTTCGGTTTCATCTGCAGCATGTTATAAAACCACCCCAGGTTGAGCTGGCAACCAGATATTTCAATCAGTCTTCAGTGACTAAATTCCTCTGGGTTTATGGGTATTTATCTTTCAGTTTATTACTGAGTTTCAGTCCCAGAGTCACTCAAATCTGCCTGCAGCAGTACTGATGAAATTATTTAACTTTCATCTGATATTAATTGTGAAACAGTTCAGTGGCAATGGGTGGTGGTGAATTGGCTGCTCAAGAAGTGGTTTTAAGAATCCTTTAATGCCAACTGTGCTCTGCTATTTTCTTGAGTGTAGGCAAATGATCTTAGAAGCAATGATATGCAAAGAATATAAGAATAAAATAATGGGAGTGAGAAATCCATTTGTGCTGTGGTCACACTTCATGAAGCTGCTAGAACCTTAATACGTGGCAATTGGGCAACAAAATAATTTCAAGACTTTTTAAAACAGCTCCTACTGAGGAAGCTTAAATCTTTCATTGTGTCTACATATTTTCATCTGAAAATAAATGGGGAAAATGAATACAACTTTTTTTTTACAACAAAGTGGAATTGTATGGCATTTACTTATTCGTTACACAAGGTCATGTGACTTCTTGAGAACGGCACTTGATACTTTTGTGGATCGTTTGGAATAAGATGTCCTTGGCTTTAAAAGCTGGTGTTGAGCACTTTAGTTTCTTTAGTTAAGTTACAGTTTGTCAAAGAACTAAGAGAAGGGGAAGTTGGACTCGGATCGCTCAAAAAAACTGCAAGTCTAGACTAGTCTCTTCCTTTCTCCCTCTGTGAATGGAACAGAAGCAGTATTTAAAGACTCTGAAGAAAGAACTTCCATCTCAAGCAAAAGCCTAGGTCTAACTGACCCTCTATAGAATTGAGAACCGCAGTAATTGACAGCAAAGCAGTATCATTACCAAAAACCAACAGAACAATAAAAATGTTTCAGAAATAGTAGGAACTGCAGATGCTGGAGATTCTGAGATAACAAGGTGTAGAGCTGGATGAACACAGCAGGCCAAGCAGCATCAGAGGAGCAGGAAAGCTGACGTTTCGGGCCTACACCCTTCTTCAGAAATGGGAGAGGGGAAGCGGGTTCTGAAATAAATAGGGAGAGAGGAGGAGGTGGCTAGAAGATGGATAAAGGAGAAGATAGGTGGAGAGGAGACAGACAGGTCAAAGAGGCGGGGATGGAGCCAGTAAAGGTGAGTGTAGGTGGGAAGTTAGGGAGGGGATAGGTCAGTCCAGGGAGGACGGACAGGTCAAGGGGGGCGGGATGAGGCTAGTAGGTCGGAGGTGGGAGGAGGGGATAGGTGGGAGGAAGGACAAGTTAGGGAGGCGGGGACAAGCTGGGCTGTTTTTGGGATGCAGTAGGGGGAGGCGCGATTTTGAAGCTTGTGAAGTCCACATTGATACCGTTGGGCTGCAGGGTTCCCAAGCGGAATATGAGGTGCTGTTCCTGCAGCCTTCGGGTAGCATCGTTGTGGCACTGCGGGAGGCCCAGGACATGTCGCCTAAGGAATGGGAGGGGGAGTTGAAATGGTTCGCGACTGGGACATTCCACCATTTGTGGTTTGGATTCTTGATCCACAGAATTTATTCCTTTTTGCTAATGTTTTCCACCCGTGACACTTCTGCAAAACTGTCAGTCTTGTCTCAGTTCTGTTTGTGGGTGAGTGTGTTGGAATGCAATGATGGTATACTTTAAGTTAGCATATTCAAAATTCATAATCTCTTTTGCCACTTGTTAAGTACATGTTACAGCAAATTACTTTTGTTTTCTTATTTACTAACGAAATTTGGTGTGAGTTTCTTTTATCTTAAATAGTGGACGAAGCCAGGCAAATTAGCCATCATAGTGATTAAATTGATCATTTATACATTTGTGATGACTTGTGGAACAGTACTCTCATCAGGATCATGACAATTATTTGTATCACCCCTGTCTAGACAAAGAGATGAGCAATGTGTAAACTCTTTGACAACATTGGTCATTTTGATATTTCTGAGGGAATGCAGTGACAGACATATAAAGTTTAAATCGTTTTAATATACAGTTACCTGAAACCACAAATTCCAGCAAAGACTTGAATTTGGAGCATAACCAATGATGAAAAAGATATGAAAGTTTCAACTGAGAGATTTCAGAGGTCTAGGAAAATAAATTGAACTACAGCTTTCCCTTGTAATTTAGGTTATAGATATCTGGAAGCACCTCGGTTGTTTGTCCCCTGCATTTTTTGTCTGCTCTATTGAAGCACCAAGTGGAAAGAATGAGTTTACATTTAACTAATTTTTTAACAAAGTTTTAATGCTTATATTTGGTTCTATTCAGAATTATGTGACATACATGAGCAAATGTGCAGATGTTGTGATGAAATTAAAATGCTATGGTGGCGAAGATCCTTATTCAATAAAATTGTGAACATTTTAAAGGAATACTTCTACATTGCAACATAAACAATGGCAGTAACTACAGCAATTATGATACCATTATTGGGAGAGGGAGGAGAAGAGGATTGATTAAATAAAATTTTGCAGATAATTTATCCAAATTTGCTCAGTAATGATAAAAACAGACCCTATCAACCCATGATATCTATTGTACAAACTGCAAAAGTGCTGCAGGCCTGTTCAGTGATCTTGTATGTGATTTATTACTTTATGCTAATATGCTAACACTGAGAATCTTACCATAAACCAGGTGAGCCGTTTACTGATTTTGGGTGGTGCCAATGTGAATTACCGGACAGAGGTGTTGAACAATGCCCCAATATTGTGCGTCCAGTCTCACCTTGGTAATTCGGACATGGTTGCTCTTCTGCTAGAGTTTGGCGCGAATGTGGATGCGTGCTCAGAGAGTGGGCTGACTCCTTTGGGCTATGCAGCAGCTTCTGGACATCTCACTGTTGTTCATCTACTTTCCAAAAGACGTGCAAAGGTAAGTCTTAAGACCATACGACACAGGAGCAGAAGTAGGCCATTCAACTCATCTCTGCTGTTCAGTGAGATCATTGCTCATTTGATAATCCTCAACTCCACATTCTTCACTTTTCCCATAACCCTTCATTCTGTTACTGATTAAAAATATGTCTATCTCGGCTGTAAATATCTGACATCGCCTCAATAGCTCTCTGCATAAAGAGATGTACCGCACAGAAACAAGCCATTCGATCTGACCAGCTGATATCAGTCATTACATTTACTCAAGCCACCTCTTAACTTCTCTCATCCTACTGTACCAACAAAACCCTCTGTTCCTGCTTCCTCAAGCTTACCTCCCTTCCTGTTAACTGTGCCTGCATAATATGCTTCAATCACTCCCTGTGGTAGCAAATTCCAAGTTTCTTCAAAATTCTGTATCTTGCATTGATAGGTTTTGGTTTTGTTCTTCGGAAAAAGAAGTATTTGCACGTGGTAACATTTTATCTCTGACTACTGTACCAAATTGTATAATTTTAAAAGTTTTAATTAGGTCACTCGTTTGCCTTCTCAGAAGAGAAAATAGATTTGCCTGTTCATTCTCTTCTGATAGGTCCACCATGCATTTCTGTTATCGATCTTGTAAATCTTTTTTGCACCCTTACAAGTGCCTCAAGACTTTTTTTTTTAAAATACCAACCAGAATTTGCATGCAGTACTCCAGATGTGATCTAAGCAATGTTGCTTAGTATGATTTATTTGATCTTCAACTCTAGTGATTGCTTTGTTTATTCTTTATGGCTTTGTAAAACTGTGTTGCAACTCTGTGTGTTTATATTTGTGTACCTAGATCCCTTTTGCTCCTTGAGACCATTTAGTTTCTTGTAAGTAGTATATATTTTGACAAGAAAAAGGAGGCTGTAATATGTAACATTTATACATATATGCTATTTACGTAAGCTTTCTGCATGTTCGTTATCATGTAATTTATGTTGCTCATATCATTAACAATTTCCCCCATCATTCCCCCAGATTTGGTTTTAGCTGTAAGTTTAGATCACAACACAGTTTCTAAATCGGAGATATAAATGTGAACATCAGAGATTTCAGCGCTCATCTCTCTGGAACACAACTTTGGGCTTTTTACCTGTCTGAACAGCTTCCATTTCCCTCTCTATTACCTGCCTGAAGCTAGTTAACTCTGTATTCTATTATAAGTCTCCTGCACCACCTGTATTATCTGAGTTCATTCATTAGTCTATCATGTGGCTCGGTATCATTTTTGGCAATCTAGATAAATTACATCTACCACATTACCTTTGTTTGCTGTTAGTTACCTCTTAAAAATAAATCAATGAGGTAAGTCATACAGATTTTCCAGTTTGAAATGTATGCTTGCTATTCATTTTTTGTTTGGAATCTGGATGTTCTACTATTCTGTCCCATAGTAGAGATTGTATCATTTCTCCTACTGCTAATTTTAAACTAAGCATATGCTTCACTGTTGTGAAAACTATGTACCCTACCATTTACATTGACTTTTTTTTTTGTCCACAATTCCCTGGGCATGTTCCATCCATCCCCTTTCCTCCATTAGGGTTTCCCATTAGCCATTCACCAGCCTTTTGGCACTACCTGTTATTTGCTAAGGAATTATTACAAATATACAACAATTCCTCCACTGTCTCTTCCCTAGGTTGTTTTAAAATACACTAGTGTAATCCTGCTGAGTAGGTATTTTATCCTCTTTAAGTTAGTTTATTTAATATTTCAACTCTATTTTAAATATTGTAATTTAATGTCTAATGTTAGCTATCTTTTTTCCAGAAAGTATTGAAGTCCCATGATTATTTAATATTTCTGCCATTTCTCTATTGTTGCCTGTAATATTATCAAGTCGGTCAACAAGGGGCTCTATTATAATTTTAAACTTGACATTTTTTCTTTGGGTTGCTGTGGAATATTATTTACTTTTATGTTCCTTGGTAACTTAATTTCTTGGTTCCCCTTTTCTTGTCTAATTGATGTTGATTTTTCTTCTGATCTCTTTATATTTTCTCCCGTGCTGCCCCTATATCTAGTGAGTGTCTCCTTTACCATCAATGTTTCTCCTTATGCCCTTACTCATCAATGGTGATCCCTTATATTTAGCTTTTTGTGTTCTTCCCAGGCTTTTGAATACTTTTTTAAAAAAATGTTTCCTATTACTGTTTTACACAATTGTTTGCTGATATTGTTACCCGTTTAAGCTTCTTAAAGTTTCATTCGCATCCTCACAAAATTGACTTCTCTCCAATCAGTTGCACCATTTTTTTCTCATGCTTAAGGCCTTCTCATTTATTGTTTTGAAGTATACAATATTATGGTTTCTGTTGCCTAGATGTTTTTCTTTTCTCTGTTTTGGCTGTTTCCCCAATGGTTTTGCTCTATGGATATTCAACTAAGGTTGGTGAAATTTACATGTTAAAGAAAATAGAAGTCTTGACTTAAATCTTTCTAATGCTTTTACTTTATCAAAAAATATTCTGAGGTTTGTGTTTTAACCGACTGATTAATCATTCTCAAAGGTGGACCATCTAGATAAGAATGGACAATGTGCTCTGGTACATGCTGCACTGCGGGGCCACTTGGAAGTAGTTAAATTCCTAATCCAGGCTGATTGGATGCTAGCAGGACAACAGCAGGGAGTGTTTAAGAAGAGTCATGCAGTTCAACAGGCACTGATTGCTGCAGCAAGCATGGGATATACTGAGGTATGTATTGCATTTTATGGATTTTTAAATAATATTACAATGTAAAACCATGTAATAAGGTGGAACCAAATGTATTCTGTTAACATTAAGTGTATGTTTACAATGATTACCGAGAGTGAGGAAGTATCTGCTGCTGTTCCCATAAAGGTGGTGAAACTCTACAGACAGGCATTCCAACTGTTTGAAGAGCTTTAGAGCTAAGTGAATTGTTAATAATGTTCAAAAATACTTTAGTCATTTAATGTTTTCAGCCTGTCTTAAGTCAATTTTCAGAATGAAAACTTCGGCCATTTTTATGCATCATTTTTGAAATAGCTCCAGAGTTATTTCATCACCAAGTCGCCCTTTATTTACATGTGGAGCATCCTTTACACTGATCCAACTCACTCTGAGCCAGCTCTCGGAATGAACAGCATGTCTGATACTCTTGTTTTTATCTGTCAGCCAGGGCTCCTTGATTGGACCAGATCAGGGAATTAATATTCTATGAGGTCCACATGACTAACCTCATTACAAACACTACATCCCTCCCTGAGTTCAAGGACATAAGCCAGTTCCTTTTTTTCTTGTAGCTCCTGGGGCATTTCAGTGTCGGGTCAGGTTCCTCCAACTCTGACTCTGGTATAGGCAGCGTGTGACATACAGTAGCTCGCCAGATATTCACAATATGTGTTAAGAGGGATCGAGGTGTAATATCTCAAAATTTGCACATGACACAAGTTTGGATGGGAGGGTGAGCTGTGTGGAGGATGCAGAAAGGTTGCAGTATTTTGACCTGTTGAGTGAGTGGGCAAGTACCTAGCAGATGCAGTTTAATGTGGAGAAATGTGAGGTTATTAACTTTGTTAGCCAAAAGTAGGAAGGCAGATTTTAATTTGAATAGCTGTAAATCAAGGGGAATGTTCAACGAGACTTGGGTATCCTCATGCACCAATCACTGAAAGTAAGCACGCAGGTGCAGCAGGCAGTAAAAGCAAACTATATGTTGGACTTGGAGATAGTAGGAACTGCAGATGCTGGAGAATCTGAGATAACAAGGTGTAGAGCTGGATGAACACAGCAGGCCAAGCAGCATCAGAGGAGCAGGAAAGCTGACGTTTCGGGCCTAGAC